TTAAAGTTGTGTGTCTTTGTTTATAGATTATTTTTGTCAATGTAAAAGAGTTTGGATATTAATCCTTATATTGAGTTATTCATTAGGAAATTAATACAGTTATTCTATTGATTCTCTGGGATTCTCTACACTTAAAATATTAAAAAATAAGTCTGTTGTAGCAGTTTTTTTTTGTTTTAAAAACTATTATTTCCAAAACATGCTATTTTTTGCTTGGAAGCATTTAGGAGAAGGATACTTTTGAAGATTAAATGATGATATAACAATATTAATTTTTTAAGTGTTTTTACAATAGGTTTCTTCAAATGTAATTGCTGCAGTATAAATACAAGTGAACAATTCTGTTTGGGAAAAACATATTTAATCACTAATAGGAACTTATTATGTAGCACAGATTGATTGTGTTGCATTTCACAATTAATAGTTTATAAACAAGGAAGTTTATGAATAAATAAATAAAAAATAAAAAATATTAACATAAGAAGAGGATATACTATTGTCATTTGCAAACTTAAACATCTGAATCCAGATAATATCTGTTTAGATGTTCCATTGTTAGAAGTTTAGATCATATGATGTCTATAATGATAAAATTACATTAAGATTTCCTGAACATGTTATCTATACCACGGGCTATCTAATATTCTGCAAATAACTTTATCTTACATTTCCTAGTTACAATTCTAATATTATATATTAATTTTTCTAATATAAATATAAAAAACTAACATAAATATAAACTATACTGATACATTGCTATATATCATAGGACTATAATTTTAATCTAAAATTATTTAATTAAATTTAATAAGAGATGGCACTTAACACTTTCCTCTAGGGTCAAATTCTTTAGTGATTTATAATTATTATTACCAAATTATAGTTTGATGATATATGGCAATGGAAGGTGTATTAATTTTTCTAATTTAAACTAATTAGTTTATCTTAAAATTTAAAGAATTTAACATGCCTAAAAGCCAAAATTAATTCATCAGATCTATAGAATTTAGCAATAAAGATATATACTTAAGCTACCATCAAGCTACAATAATTAATTTTGAATATTAATTAAATAATTTAGAAAATCTGATAGCAATTAATCTATATGGTTATGATTTGCATTTAATGTCAGTTTAGATAACTTTACTGGTAGCATATCTGTACAGTAATCACAAAATATATGTTTGAGTCCTGCTATAGATTTTCTAAATTATTTAATAAAATTAAAGATTAATTTCTACTTATTAATCTTAGCATAAGATGATACTTAACTGCCTACTATTAGGTAAAATCATTTTTCTGTGAATGAAAATTGATCCATTTTTTGATATCAAAATTCTATTTTTTGTGTAACATGTAGAAAAAATTAATATATAACAGAAGCTATTAAAAAATATTTAAATCAGTTATTTAATAAATAACAATGGTGACATCAATTGAATATGTAATGTAATCTCTAATGAATATCTATATTTAAAACTTAATTCATAAAAATAATTAATTTAATATTTAAATAAATATAAAAGTCATGTTTTTTTTTTTTTAAATAATAAAAAGCTATCTGACTATTCACAACAATAAAGCCTTAGAAATAAGATCTAAATGAAATAACATTGTGATAGAATGAGGAAATGTTTTTATTTGAAGAGCATATTTTTGAAGTTATTGTTAAAGAATCATTTTGTCATGTAATTTTAATAGTAGTTACATAAGAGAGGCTGTTGCAAATAATAGAGCCATATCATTTTTGCAAGATGCTGAGTTGTTATTTTTTAAAATTACTAAATATCAAAATAATATTTCAAAACAAACATGACAACTTTAATATATTTACATAAAAAAGTATATATTCATGTAATTTATATGTAAAAGAATAAAACATCAAAAATATAATTATTAATAATTAGGAAATAAAGGTTTTTCTTTAGTCCTTTTCAGCCCTGTAGTACTGAATCTCTCTCCTATTCCTATCATTGGTTTAGCTGGCACAATGGCATGAACAAGTAATGGGAAGTGGTGCTACCCATTCAGGTCAAAATCATTCATACGTTAAAAATTAAAAGTTATGACTTGGACTTGAACCTGTAGACTCTATAGACCAAATGATTGATGTGTTTACTGCCTTGATCATCTGGCTGTAAAAAATTCTAATGTTATAGAGGAAAGTGTAACACATCACAAAAACAATCTCTAAAATTTTTTCAATTTATTATTTCCATTTTTAGAAGAAAATATTTTGAAAGCAAAAACTTTAATTTTTATGAACACTGAATATGGTTTTCAAAAATGTTATGATTTTTTATCATAATTGATCTGTAATAATAATTATAAACTTAATATAATATTAAAGGCAATAATAATTTAAAATTGTCAAAAAAAAAATTCATTAATTTCTTGAATAAGTTTTTTAACATGAAAGTTTGTCCAATATATTTGTGTTAAAAATGTAATTTCTAAATTACAATCATTGTAATATGAATGAAAATTTTAATTAAAATCAAAATTATATTAGCACCAATAGGGTATTGTAGACTTAAAAATATATAGTCAATTTATCATTTATAAATTGGAATTTAAGTACATAAATATACATATATATATATATAGTACATTCTACTGCTAATATAGGTAATATGTAACATAATGATAACTAATTATGTATCCAACAAGATTTGAACATAAAAAAATTCATAGTTATCTGTGTCTTTTCTTGTTATGAGACCTCTGTCTGTTGTTAGGTGGAATATTAAGTGATGCATACCCATATTTGGGCATACTTTTGATTTGATGGAGTTGTATCTATTATTGTGGTGATTGTGTAAATGCAGTACCTTCACTTTATTTGGGCTGAGGACTGTGCTTGACTAAAGTCAAAGTATAGTTGCTAAACACAATTATGTTTTGTATGCTATTGGTGCGTTTATCTATTTATGTAAACTTTTATGATATGTAATATTTCTGCTTTCTGTAGTGTCTCTTAAATGATGTTAAAGATTACTATTATTATTGTTTCACTCTTTGAAAGTTTGCCCAAAGGTACTGTTATAAAAGAACAGAAATATGTACAAATAAATTATTTAATCTGATATTATTAATTTAAATCTTGAGTAATTTAAATAGAATAAAATATAATGTCTAAAATATTAAATGTAACCATTACATTCATTTTTGTAATTAAAATTTTACTGTAAACAGATATTTTATGATCTTTTGGATTTTATGTTGAATGAAATTGTTTTAAACTGTTTTCCAGTCTGATAGTTTTATTTATTCATCTAATCTGGTGTAAAAAAATCAACTTGTATTGTATTCAATATAATGTTACTTTAAACTATACCTGATTTAAGAAATTAATCTGTTTTTGCTTATTTGGTATGCCTATAAAGTTCAATACAATTTCAATGATTAATCTTATTTGTAACTGTAATGAATACTTATTTGGATGAAATTACAGCACTAGAAACAACTTATGTTAAAATTCTTATAATATGCTGATATTTTAGATGTACTTCAATAAGGATTCCTCCTCAAATACATCTATTTGTGTAGTGAAGTTTCCCAATATTTTTTTGCTTATTGACTGCATTCTACATTTTAAATTTAATTTTGAGTCCTTTCTACACTGACACAAAACAAGAATATGCTACAAAATAATAAAATTAAATAGAAATTAATAATAATCATCATCATCATTTGTCAGATATAAATTAAAATTAAAAATTGAGTGTTTTACCTTACTGTTTTAATGATTTCAGTTATTAGTATTGTGTTATATTTTTTGTTACTACATTCATAAATTTATTTATCCATTGATCTCAAAGGTTTCTAATTCATTGACCTCCTAGATAACTGCTAGGTCCCTTAGTAATAGTAATTAGTTGAACCCTGGTCTAGTTCAAAACTTTTATTTTGAATATCATATAGGTGTATGTTATGTCACTTAATTTGTTTTTTTAATTAAACATTGCTTTATCTTAAGTTGTTTAGATACATAAATTGTTATATTTAAGTTATAATTTGTGATGATTTTTACTCCTAATAAATTATTAATCTTACAATTAATCAATTATAGTAACTGGACACATTCAGTGAACAAAAACTATGCAGCACTTTAGCTCTGTGCTAAAACATCTCTCTGTAAAATTGATTAGATGTGTTCAGTTCCTTAACTGACAGATGTCATAGTAGTGATTCAGAATGTAAACATTTGTGGTATATTTCTGTACTTGTAATTATCTTTTATTCTTGCACACTTATATTATATTGAAGATTTGTTTGTCAAATTTTAAGTTTAAATCTAATGTTTCCATTCATTTTTAAGCACAACAGGCAGAATGGAAAAATGTGCTGTACTAAAGTGCTTTAATGCAGCAGAGTAAATATCCATATGAACAATGACAAACTTCTTCAAGAAAGCACTGACAGTGACATCATGTAAGACTAGTTTAGCCAGCTAAAGTATTGCAACACTACTGTTTACTGAATTCATCCATTGTGATAAACTTTTTAATATAGTACTATCATTAGGCAAAATAATTTTTATGTTTCTATTTTATTTAAAACTTAATTTTATCAACAGTGCATTTGCCATTAGTGGAAGGAACACTTATGCATATTTATTAATAAATGGTGCCTACATATATAATATTTTGACTTAAAAGTGACTGTGTAATAGTGAGTTCTAAGCTCCTATACTATTCAAGCATTTTTACATTGGTTGATTGCAATTATGTCAGCTTTGTGATAAGAAAATGCTTACCTGTTTCATGCTGAAAAATGTTTAAGATTTGTTAAATCTTAAACATTTTTCATTATCCATTGCCATATATCATCGAACTATAATTTGGTAATAATAATTATAAATCACTAAAGAATTTGACCCTAGAGGAAAGTGTTAAGAAAAATTTGTTACGTCAAATTTTGTTTATTTTAAATGTGAATGCCTTAAGTATAGTAAACTTCTCTTTTATATGCTTGCTTAAAGTAAATTTATATTTCAGAAATTTGCTGGTGAAGGACTCCGTACATTGTGCTTGGGTGTTAAAGATCTAGAAGAAAGTGTTTATGAAGAATGGAAAGCTAAATATCATGAAGCAACGTAAGTATGTCTTTTGATATGTTAATTCTTACATATAAAGTAAGTTATTTATAAAATGTAATTCATATGCTTCAAGTTTTTAATTTTATTTTTTCAAAAACAAAAAAAAAAAAAAACAGAATAGATACTTTGAAACACTTTTTATAATATTTTAAATTTTAATTAGTTTTCAAAATGTGAGTAGTCCTTACATAAAATTTTAGAAAATTAAATTTTATAAGTATTATAAATTGGCTAGATTTCATAAGGCATCATTATTTTCGTGAAGGAAGAAAGATGCTTTATCATATCTTAAAATTCAATAGGATTCTTATAATTTGTTATAGATACGAGGGGGCACTTTGTAACATCTGTTAGTGCTGGTGACTTTCCCACAAACTTTGTAATAGTGAATTTTATGATTTGAATATGATTCGTTTAATCTTTTGTTTATATTTACTTCGGTTTTATAAATTTTTTTGATTTTTATTTGTTAATACATGTTCTAGTTATTAATTGGAGGCATCAAATCTAATCCTGGTCTGATGTCTCGTACTACTACTCCTTCTCCTCTTTGAAGTCGTCCACATCAATTGGAAAACATCAAAGATTGCCTAGTGAACCAGCTCTGAAATCTCAATGGCTGGAATATTTTTTCCTTTTATTGAGTTCATCTACTACTGTACATCAAAATTTGGTTTCTTTCTTAGAAGAGCAATTTGATGCCATTTTGACAAAGCTTGAGGATTTATCTACTAAATTTGAATGGCTGGCTATTATTCAATAAATATTTTTATTTTCAAGATGTGTTTTTGAAAATGTAAAAGTATTTTGTAAGAAGCAAGATTAAAAGTACTTTTAATATAATTTCATAGATTTAAATACATTGTCATTGGTAGCTTTTCAGTCAAGTTAATCATAACTACTGCAATGTATATAAAAAGGAAAAGTTAATACTAGAATATTTAACTTCTATACAAAAGTTTAAGAAATTATTTTGATACAGCTTTATGGCATTATAACAGCTTACAGCATTTATAACAGGTTTTATTTATTAAAATACTACATATAGTTTTGTTAAATGTTGGTACACATGGTAGTTGGTGGCTTATTATACATTAAATAATTGTTTCTGTTGTAGTGTCAATGAAATTTTTTTTAATTCTCTCTTAAATCAGAAGAAAAGTTTTAATTTACTTTGTAAAGATTCATTTCACTGTATTTTACAGAAATATTTATAAAAGGTAAAAATTTTCTCAAAGGATGAAGAGAGTAATTCTTAATAGCACAACAATTTAAAATCAGTATCAAAACAATTTAAAATATGTATTTTTCTTAGCACAATGTTGCCATTGAGAACATATCACATAGGTACACTTTCAGAGGAAAAAGGTTGTTTTATTGGTGTGAACAGATATGCATTTCGGGCTTAACATGACTCGTAAGAAGATATACACGTAGTTGAAAAAGGAAAAGTTCTTTTGGCTCCACACATATACACATTAGGATACTGTAGCATTAATAGGATGGAAATGCCAGGATCACTCAAAGGTATTTCCTAGCAGAGGAGAAAGTACAAGGTTAAGTAGTAGAAGATAGTGGGTGAAGGGAAAAAATAAAGAGAAGATAGTTGGTGAAAATGGGAGAGTCGTAGCACTACAACCATTTATTGAAACAAACTGAATATGTGTACAACAGTAAATGACTAGGAAAAGGTTAAAGGTACATACACAATTAGGCATGAGGGCACATACCAAAAAACCAGTAAGAATTTGCATTGCAATTGAACAAGGAATGACTGACATATTATTAAAGGATTGTAGACAGTAAAACAAAACAAAATCGATCAGGTTACATGGGTGACAGAGATATGCCTGGATGTTGACGTACTGGTACTTCGATGATAGACCTGTGCCTGTAGAGAGGAGTACACACATACACAAACATGCTTGTAGATGGCATTCCCAGTCGAAAGAAAGCCCATAGCCAAATAGGGCTGGCACTGGCATGGCTGGAACACTCACCCCGATACCTGTTAGGTGTGTAGCTAAGGCCAAAAGTACCTAGTTGTTGAAATTCAGTTCTAGTGCATTTGTTGATAAAATAAAGTTCACCAGTTCCCTAAAAATAACAGGATCGCTAGTGAGAACAGCTAATGGGCAAGGCCAATTGTATCCTCCTTTAATGGTTGTCATAATGATCACAATGGAAAATTAAGTGAAGAGGGTCTTGGGTAGAGATATCACACATGCAATAAGGGGTCTTCCTATGTTTGAACCAGTTTAAGTACTGATTAAAGTTCCCATGGCCACTGAGAAGTTGTGTAGTATGGAAGTCAATTTGCAGATGCTTCACCTTAAGCCTGAGACTAACGTCTGGGAGAAAACAAAAGGTTAGCTGACCAGTGTTGTCATTTTCCCAATGACATTGCCACAGAAGAAGAGCAGTCTGGGTGATAGTATTTTTAATGGCACAAATGGGAATCCTATTCCAGGAAGTAGTTGCTGATGAATTAGCTGCTTGTTTGGCCAGGGTGTCAGCTTTTTCATTTTCTTCCAACCCCGAATGCCTTGGACCCAAGAGATGGCGATGTATTTCAGCTTACTTTTGTTAACCTTGAACACAATGAGATTAGCGAGGTGATCTTTTTTGATTGCAGATTTGCCTGATAGCAGTTTGGCTATCAACGCAGATCCTAACACATTAGGATAGTATAATGTGTGCTGTAGGGTGTGAAATAATTCTGATGAGATGTACAGAGAACATAGACAAGATATGAGAGGTTAAAAAGAAGTGAGTAATGTAACCTTGTAATCCTTGTATCCTTGTTACAAGGATTACTCACTTCTTTTTAACCTCTCATATCTTGTCTATGTTCTCTGTACATCTCAACAGAATTATTTCACCCCCTACAGCACATGTTATACTATCCTAATGTGTATGTGTGGAGCCAAAAGAACTTTTAGCTCCTTTTTCCTTTTTCAGCTATGTGTATATCTTCTTACGAGTCATGTTGGTTTAACTGTCGCTGTCTCAGGACTGAAGAGGGGTGTTAAGCCCAAAATGCATATCCGTTCACACCAATAAAACAACCTTTTTCTTTGAAAGTGTTCTTGTGTGATATGTTCTCAATGGCAACATTGTGCTAAGAAAATACATATAATAAAGAACAACAAGCAACCAAGATTTAATTTAAAATATATTTGAAGAAACAATAATTGTATTTTTAAGGAACATTGAAAATAGATGGGAAATAAAGAATAAATATTTAGTAAGAATATGTTATTTTTTTCAGTAAATACTTCCAAAATATTCACACATCAGATTCTATGTTGAAAGCGATAAATCAGATTACTAGTATTCAGATGAAAGCAGATTGATTAAAAAGTAACGACACCAAGGCCAATTTTAGCCAGTTGCTTGTCATTATTTAGATCACATGCTATTAATAATTATGTAGGGCTTGCCAGGTGATGTCTAGGCACCACTGTGTGATTCTACTATGATCTCTCCTTCTGACACAAAATAGAAGAGCAAAAAGGAACACATACACAGTAAACAGAACAGTTGGAAGAACAGGCGCTGACTGTCTGGAATTGGCCATTCCTTGTCATATTCAAAGCAGCAAATACCTTAGAGGTGACTAAAAGTCATGGGAAAGTGTCACTACTGATTGAGAAAGCATAAGATGACACACTCATAGAGTATTGATGTATACTAGCTTCTGATGATGTCATCCTTGTTTTCCTTTTACTTGTTTGATTCTCACAATTAAATTGTTTTATTAAAGAAAGGGTAATAAATAAAAAAGATAAATTTCCTGAAAAATTTGATAGAAAAGAAGACAAAATTCAATGATACTGCCTATCCAAACACAAACGTGTGTACAAAGGCCTCACACAGATAGAAGACTGCAACAAACAAATTTACAAATGTATAATTTATATATCTAATAAATAAAAGAGTTTGCATAAATAAGTTAGGTTGCATGGTAATGTAAGCCTCAAACTAGATTTAATTATTGCTTTGCCAAGAGCATCTGCTATAAGAAAGACTTTGTCATTATTTGCTTGTTGCAATTTCTCTTTTAGTTTTGTTGGGTGAAAACTACTGATTAAAAAACTTACTCTGAAATATAATTATAAAATTATTTATTGTAATTTTAAATATTGAAAAATAACTTTCATTTTTTTGCAGAAAAATCAGACTGTCAATAGTTTTTATTAGAATTATCAATTAATGAGGAGATGGCATGATTTTGGAATCACCAATTTTGATCAAACTTATTGACTTTTCTCTATAGGTTCTTCATAGTGTTGGATGAGTAAAGTTTATAAAGTATGTATTTTCTCACCACACCGGGTTGTATATAATCCAAATGCACAATGATCTACAATTAACCAATAACAGGCATGAAATTCTTAAAAAATCAGCGAATGTTTTCGATGCCCCTCCTGGGCTCTTCTTCAGGCTTATTTTATATCTTCCATTATAACTGGATTCTTTAATTCAAATGTTTTTTAAAACTTGAAACGTGCCCTTTTCTGAAAAAATTCCAAAAGTGGAAGGAATCCATCAGCTATTTCAAATATCATTTTCTACCAATGGGGTTCGTTATGTGCAATACCTTATTTAAATTTATCTTATAAAATATATTTTGATTTATCATCAAGTAAAAATTGCCATGCTGTAGAGAGATTCATTTCTTCTTTGAAATTAATGCATGTGGATTTGTGGTCGGCTTTAAAGATTTCTATTGCTTCCAAAGTTCTTAGTTGCTTCTGATGCTGGGTGGTGCGGATAACATGAGCTTCATCGAAGATAGGTGCGATACCCAGGTTTGTTGCATATGTAGATAGGGCTGTTGTACATTTATTATGTGTGATGTCAGATTTATGCTCTTTTAATCTTGTGGCCAATGAACGTTTGGTGGATCCGATATACACTAAAGGCCTATCCCATCTGTTATCTTTTAATGGAATACTTTATATTCCCGGAAGTCTGTTTGGGTCAGAATTCTCCTTCCTGTTCCTTAATAAACTGTATATGGATGAGTTTCCTTTGTATGCAATCTTAATTGCCCTTACTTTTGCAATTTTTTTGTGCATTGCTTTTAGATGCAGGTTATATGTTATTGGTACACTCTCTATGTTATCTTCAGAATCTTATAGAAGAAAAGGTAGAGGTGCAAAATACTATTTTGCACCTCTACCTTTTCTTCTATAAGATTCTGTAAACGCATGTGCTGCTTACACAATCTATTTATAATGTTACCGTAACCACGCTCTTTAGCAATCTTCCTAACGTAATTTACTTCTCATTGGAGGGCTTGGGTGATGGAAGAATGTGTTTAGGCTCTTTCTACTAATGCTTTAAACGCCACTATCTTACGTGAAAACAGGTCACAAGATTCATATGGTATATATGTCGATATCACTGTAGGTTTTCTATAGACATAAGACCTTCCCCTAAGAAGGCAAGTAACTCCTTTATCCCAGACTTGGAAAAATCTACTGAAAGGACTGTCACATAACCAAAAAGAATACTGCAGATGGTTAGCATCTTTTAAGATTGGTACTGCAAAGGAATCTAAGGAGGTTGTACAGCTGAAACATAAATTGAATAGAGCTTCCAAACGGATAAAGAGTAATGGCATTGTTTTGACCAGAGCGGATAAAGCCAAAGTAATGGTGTTAATGAAAAGAGAGACTTATGAGAAAGGATTAATTGAATACCTCTCATTAACTCAGTGCTCAGAAGTGGAAACAAGCTGGGTGGATAAGATGCAAGCAAGAATTAAACAGTTTGCTAATACGAAACTAGCCAGGAACATAGGTATTGAGGATATAATTGTATAGGTCCGGGACATAATTGTAGATGTCCCGGACATGCCGAAACTGTTCACTTTTTCAAAGACACATAAGCAAAGGCAGCAACTCAGACCTATAGTAGACAAAGGGAGAGCTCCCACCCTTAAGTTGGAAAAGTTATTACATAACATGCTATCCACACACTTAAGACTACCAGTTCAAGATTTTGAGTGTAATGGAGCTTTTAAAAGAACTTAAGAAGATACACTCTCCCAACTGCACAACAGTATTGGATTTTAGATCCTTATACCCATCAATAAAAATTCAACCATGTTTTTGTGTGCTCAGAGACTTCCTTCTTTCTAACATAGAGGATACCACATTGCACCACAATATACTCGAGTTAGCACATCTGGCTTGTTACAATTCCATATTCCAATTCAAGAGCACTATAAATGTGCAGGGAAGAGGTGCACCAATGGGAAATCCATTGTCTGGAGATTTATGTGAAATGGTGATCAGAGTATTAGAAAGCAAAGTCCTTCCCTCCTTTCTCCCAAATATTATTCTATATGGAAGGTATATTGATGATATAATTATCCTTTAGAAAACTGAGCCGGATCTAGAACATTTTAAGGAAACAATGAACAACAACCCATATGGCCTTCTAGTGGAACTTGAACAGCATAGTAAGGATAAAATCCACTTCTTGGATATAGTCATAGATATTAATTAAAGAAATGTCTATAGAAAACCTACAGCGATATCGACATATATACCATATGAATCTTGTGACCTGTTTTCACGTAAGATAGCGGCGTTTAAAGCATTAGTAGAAAGAGCCTAAACACATTCTTCCATCACCCAAGCCCTCCAATGAGAAGTAAATTACGTTAGGAAGATTGCTAAAGAGCGTGGTTACGGTAACATTATANGTTTATTTTGGTGGTGACAGAACATTTTGCTTTTAATATATTATTATTACTTTGGAAGAAAACTGGCATAACTCAAAAAAGCGTGATTTTTCGATTATGTCGTAATCAAAGCAAAAATGTAGTAAATTTTTATGTGGAAGAGTGTCACAAAAGTAACTTGCGTATTTGGCCACTAGGGAGCAGTTATGTGGGAGGTAAATGATATTCAGTTAAACTTTGGTTAAATCTTTGCATGGGATTTTCTCAAAACTAGTAATTTTGAGTTGTGCCAGTTTTCTTCCAAAGTAGTGAAATGGTGACACTGCTTGTATTTGTTACTGTGATATGTGGAGGATATACTAAGAAAACTCAAAATTTATTTTTGTCTTCAAATTAATACTTTTACCTCTGTCTCTCTGGATTTTGTTATCCTTTCTTTTTTATAATTGAAATTTTTGAGTATATATAACAAGGGCAAGTTTTACTTGAAATGAAGACACAGCCTTTTTTCAAAGCCTTTTGTTTCTTTGAGTTTTTACTTTTCTGGCTGCTATAGATTATAGTAGGAAAAGTCAATCTGTCAAATTTTTGACTCGCTGATTTTTTCTTTATATTTTGACATTCCATGAGCCCAGAAAACATCCTTACAAAAATCTGTGTTGGCATGTATTTTGCATTATATCTCAGGATTGGATGAACCAAAAATTTTCAAACTTGCAGGGTATTTTTATATATGGGGTATTGAATTTGGTGGTTAAATGTTAAGAGATGGGGAGATGGTAGGTTTGTATCATATCTTGAGTGGGATCATACCTAATGAAAATTTTACTTGTCATGGAATTTAGTTTTTTTAACTAGTTACCCATCCTCAAAAAAACCTTTGGTCTATTTATAATAATCAATAATATGAGATTTTATTAAATAATTTTTTAACAGATAGCTCAAATTTTTTAAACTTAAATTTTACTAAAATTAATAAATTCTAAAAATTTTTCCATTTAAAAAACTTTTAAGAACCACAAGTGACGTTCACTCTTTAATTCCGACTTCGATAGAGTTTAAAAAACAGAGAAAACAAGAGAATTATTTTCACTATTTCTTACTTTATTATGTTATCCATATATATTTCGCTATTTTAGCCTCTTCAGTGGATATTACACTGTCAAGTTGCCAGTACTATTATAGTTCATCAAGCTATCCCAGCATGCATCGACATATGCTCCTGTATTTAAATTTATACAATTTGCATGTTCTTTAATACAGTAATGTTCTATGATGCGTCTTTTTACAAAATTTTTTTCTTTATACAAAATTTTAATATTACTACGATCAATAAGACAATTTTTAATACTGCAGTGTTGTTGCCACGGGGATTCAGTTCTGTTCAATCGAATTGCCGCCTCATGCTCCTTTAGCCTCACTTCCAGTTTTCTTCCTGTTTCTCCAACGTAGCTTTTCCGTTCTGTGCACGTACACATCAATTCATATACGACTTCTGCAACTTCTAAAGGATTCTTCGATTGTTTTTCATTTGCTTTATTAATCAGACAAATACTGTTATTTAATTTATTTTTTTGTTCACCTACTAAATTGACTGAGAACAATTCTTTAATATAAGTTTTATATTTTTCATAAAATTTGAAAATATATGGAATTTTAATATATAAGTTTTCTATTTTATTATTTTTAACATTATATCTATTATTTAAATACGAATTGTACCACTTACGTATAAGCTGTTGTGGATAGTCATTCAATAAATATTTTTTAAAAAGATTCTTANATAGTTTAAATAAGAACATTAAATTTACTTATGAAGAAGAAAAAAATTATGAAATTAATTATTTAGATGTAATAATCACAAGAAAAAATGAAACATTGCTGTTCCGAAAATACGAAAAAATATGTAATAATAATAAGGTGATTAATTACAAGTCATATTCTTCTATAGGAATAAAAAGAAATGTTTTTTTGATGGAATTAAAGAAAATATTTAATAGAACAACTTTAAAAAAATATATTGAAATTGAAACTAAGAATCTTTTTAAAAAATATTTATTGAATGACTATCCACAACAGCTTATACGTAAGTGGTACAATTCGTATTTAAATAATAGATATAATGTTAAAAATAATAAAATAGAAAACTTATATATTAAAATTCCATATATTTTCAAATTTTATGAAAAATATAAAACTTATATTAAAGAATTGTTCTCAGTCAATTTAGTAGGTGAACAAAAAAATAAATTAAATAACAGTATTTGTCTGATTAATAAAGCAAATGAAAAACAATCGAAGAATCCTTTAGAAGTTGCAGAAGTCGTATATGAATTGATGTGTACGTGCACAGAACGGAAAAGCTACGTTGGAGAAACAGGAAGAAAACTGGAAGTGAGGCTAAAGGAGCATGAGGCGGCAATTCGATTGAACAGAACTGAATCCCCGTGGCAACAACACTGCAGTATTAAAAATTGTCTTATTGATCGTAGTAATATTAAAATTTTGTATAAAGAAAAAAATTTTGTAAAAAGACGCATCATAGAACATTACTGTATTAAAGAACATGCAAATTGTATAAATTTAAATACAGGAGCATATGTCGATGCATGCTGGGATAGCTTGATGAACTATAATAGTACTGGCAACTTAACAGTGTAATATCCACTGAAGAGGCTAAAATAGCGAAATATATATGGATAACATAATAAAGTAAGAAATAGTGAAAATAATTCTCTGGTTTTCTCTGTTTTTTTAAACTCTATCGAAGTCGGAATTAAAGAGTGAACGTCACTTGTGGTTCTTAAAAGTTTTTTAAACGGAAAAATTTTTAGAATTTATTAATTTTAATATTTGTCTACACCGATCCCATTGTTTTTATTATTTATTTAATTAAATTTTACTATTTTTCAAAATAATATTTATCATAACTTAACAAAATTACTTCTTTTAAACTTTTATTATTTAAATTTATATCCTACTGTAATTGAAAATGATCACTTCTTACCTGGTCTGCCTAACCTCTTGTTTAAGTGCTGGAAATTCATGCATGAACTATTGTCAGCTTTTTTCTATAGCTGAACATGGAAGGGCTCTGATAATTATTTTAAATATGGTTTTAGTGTATTTGAGTAACTTTTCCCAAACACTTTTATATCATCTTTTAATATGTATTTCTTTTATGTCTTTTACAAAAACACTAAAAATTTGCTTCCTTTTTTCATTTATATAATAATCCAAAAATTGCAACTAACATAATAATTTTAATTGTTGAATTTGGCTTACATATAAACTGCAGCTTAATATAAATTTCTGTAAAATTCTAAAGATTTTTTTTGGAGATAGAAGCATTTGCTTTGAGCCAATAGAGATATGCATTATTTAATGACAGGGATGTGTTCCAAGAAATACATTAAGTAAACATCATACTTAGACCAACTTTGTATAGTATAGTTATATGTAACAATTGTAACACAATAAGTATTTATGTATCTAAATGTATCTAAATATAGAATAGGTACAGGAGATGAAAGTTTTTCATCTCTCTCTCAGGACTATATTACAAGAACTCTGTGGTCTGTTAAGTGGAATGGTGTTAAGCACTGCATATCTGTGTATGCTTTGAAGTTGTAGAGTTTGTGGATTTTGATATGCTTATTTTGAAACTTTACAACTCAATCTTACTATAAAGAACAGTAACAGGAATTTTATGGTGATGGAATATATAAGCCATTCCATCAGCATAGTGACAAGTGACTGAATATATTATTTTTAATGTAATCATCAAACTTAGTTTCAATTTATGTAGTTGGTTGTGTGTGTTAAAGTTATTGAATATTATTTATGGAACATTATTTTTAAATCTATCCTTTCTGCATGTGTACATGTATCTGTGTGATTCCAAACTCTGTACAAATTTTTATGCAGTAAAGGGAATTCCAAGACACATTTTTCATCTATGAATGTATAAGAATGTACAATCACAAATGTTACCTTCAAGTGCTAGAGGATATTGTTTAACAGTGTTATGATTGCCTAGAGGAAAATAGGAACAGAGAACGAACTTGTTGTTTGTTGCCGACAACAAACTCAAAAATTGGATACATTTCATGTAATGTAACCTGATGTATGAAGACTCCCATTGAATCAGAAGCAGTAACCTTGCAGCAGTAACAGCATATAGCAACTGTTCATGAAATGCCAGAAATCATTAAATATATATCATAATCAATGCTTTATTGCTGTCATTTATTATTTATTATTGCTGTTGTAGCCAATTGACACTTTGAGCAACTTCTTTAATAAAACTCACATTTCTCACAGTTGTTTCCATTCATTTATGTACCAGATTTACCAATACCAGGCAGTTGTCCCTTTAGCATCAAAGGTAATCTGTGGACATTTACAGATAGGAAACACAATGACAAACATTTTTCATTCATTAAAATCTATACAGCATATTTGAAACATTCTTTATATTAATAAAAAAATTGCATGTAATATAATTTAAAATGTTTTAATTATTTTGGTTTAATTTTTAGGACAGCCTTAGAAAACAGAGAATCTAAAGTTAATCTAGTTATGGAAGAAATAGAAAAAAATCTGACTTTGATTGGTGCCTCTGCCATTGAAGACAAATTGCAAGATGGCGTTCCTTACACAATTGCAAACTTGGCATTAGCCGGAATTAAACTATGGGTGTTGACTGGCGATAAACAAGGTAGTATCTTAAAATTTTGTTTAATGTTAATATAATGGACTGTTTTTTTAAAGAGAAATAAATTGCAGAGACTGCCATAAACATCGGATATTCATGTCAGTTGCTGACGGATGACATGGTTGATATCTTCATTGTTGATGGAAATGATCCTGAAGAAGTACAAAAGCAACTCCAGACTTACAGAGAGAACATTCGGAGTGTCATGTCTCATACTAAAGGCGCTCCTCAGTGCAGCGTGGTTACATTTTTGGATGATTTATATCCACTCTCTAACAGCAGGGAGGATTTTGGAGGATTTGCACTTGTTATTAATGGACACAGTTTGGTAAGTTTAAACTTCAGAGATTTTTAAATTCAAAATCATTAACAAATATGCAAGAAAATTGTCAAGATATTTGTTATATCCTTTAGAGCAAAACTAAGATTTGAATTTGTATTCTCATTTAAAGCTGAATATAAAAATCTTTGATTTATTTAGGACATTCAGTTGTTACAGTGCAATTATACTAATAGCAATAAATTTTTCATATTTAGAAGTTTTATGAATAAATCTTTTTTTTGTTTTAGTCTTTTGCACTTGATGAGTCAATGGAACTTCTATTTCTTGAAGTTGCCTGCCACTGCAAGACTGTCATTTGCTGTAGAGTCACTCCTCTGCAGAAAGCATTGGTAGTAGATTTAATCAAAGTTCATAAGAAAGCCGTTACATTAGCTATTGGTGATGGCGCAAATGATGTCAGCATGATCAAAAGTAGGTTTTATTATAAAACTGAAAAATCCGAATTTTTTAAGTGTAATGTTTGTGTGAATGCTTAACATTTATAGAGAATATTATCTTTACAGCCGCCCACATAGGAGTAGGTATCAGTGGACAAGAAGGTATGCAGGCCGTCCTAGCCAGTGATTACTCGGTGGCACAATTTCGTTTTTTGGAACGTCTTCTCCTAGTCCACGGACGTTGGTCTTATTTTCGAATGTGCAAGTTTCTACGATATTTCTTTTATAAAAATTTTGCATTTACACTCTGCCATTTCTGGTTTGCTTTCTTCTGTGGATTTTCAGCACAGGTATGTAAAAGTTTGATCAAATTTCTTAGAATTTGTTTTGACTCATGATTGATTTTATATTTCTTTTCAGACTCTCTTTGATCCAGCTTTTATATCTGTTTATAATGTTATTTATACATCATTACCAGTTTTAGCACTTGGAATACTTGACCAGGTAATTTTTTGTGATTAGAAAACATAATTTGAGTAAAATTTAACTTTCGAATTTATAATTATTTTCTGTTTGAATTCAGATGTTAGATAATGAGATTTTTTGTTAAATTAATTACAAAAGCCATAAATAAATCTACGCATCCTTATTTACAGGATGTAGATGACAAAAATTCAATTCGATATCCAAAACTTTATACTCCTGGGCATTTAAATTTACTTTTCAACAAAGTTGAATTCTTAAAAAGTGTTACTCATGGAATCCTTACGTCTTTCATCTTGTTTTTTATCCCGTACGGAGCATTCAACACCGGAATAAGTTCAGAAGGTCGAAATTTAGATGATCTCCAGCTATTCGGCACCACTGTTTCCGTCATTTTAGTGTTAGCTGTGACTTCCCAGGTATATTTTCCTTGCAAATATATTTTAATTCTTGAGAATATAAAATTATAAATTAATGCAATTCTATTTTTAAACAGGTTGCTTTAGATACTGCATACTGGACTGTTACAAACCATATAGTGATTTGGGGAAGCATTGCCTTTTATTTTATATTAACTTCTCTTATCACTAGTAACTTGTTTCTTTACAATTATGTGGGAATGTTTCTTATTGCCATTGCCACTCCACAATTTTGGTTTACGACTTTTTTAACTCTAACCATTATTTTGGTGCCTATAGTGGCCATAAGATTTTATCACACGGACGTCCATCCAACATTATCTGACAGGGTCAGGTTAAAACAGCGGAAGTCGTGCCTGAGGTCTCGACCCTCGGACACGCAACTGCACAGATCTTCCAGCATCAGAAGGAGCAGTCGGCGTTCCATACGTTCTGGATACGCTTTTGCCCACCAGGAAGGATTTGGCCGCCTCATAACTAGCGGCAAGATAATGCGAAAGAACAAGTCCAGTAGTTTCGGAAACAACTTACATCCACACTCCAGGAGCCACAATCTGTGGGTCACCAGAAACCATTCAGGAAACTCCAGGGAGAGAGCCACTCCTTCCACAGTTGAAGTGTAAAGTTTTTTCTGTGTGTGTGCGTGTGTGCATTTCTGTGATTCGGCATTTGCACCTGTTACAGTGCATAAATATTTTAAGTTTTTGTTCCAAATTTTCAAAGAACCTTATAAGTTTCAATTAAATGTTTCGAGAAGAAGCATATCGATATTTAATGTTCATATTTGCAAAAAAAAAAGTTTTTTCTACCATCTTTATCATGGATTATGGCCTTGTACATATTAAAAATTGAAACAAAAGAAAATAAAATGTCTGTACTAAAAGTGTTGAACATCTTCATCTAGTGCATTACGGAACAGACATTTACCTATATCATTGTTAATAAGTCCATTTTATGAAGTGTAAACTAATTGTGGCACAAATTTTTATTTTATTAAAACTGTTGGTAAATACAGAAATCTTCCTACACTTGCATATGTATAATATTCTTTGTAAACATTGATTTTTAAAAAAAAATTTTGTTGTAGCCTAGATTTATAAAAAAACAAAAAAAAATTGTATTCGAGTGATATACTTTATTATATATATATAATGCATTGCATTAATGGAAAAAATTATTTTAATTGCAATGTTGTTTAAAATGCCTGTTCTTATAGTTAATGGGTGAAAAAAGTTTATATGGTTAATAAAATTTATGTATTTTATAAAGGATCTTTTGATTTTTATAGTATAGTTTTGCATTAAATAATTGCTTGATTTACCATGAAGTAAATTGCAAATAACAAACTGAAAATTCGACTCAGATATTTTGAAATCTTGCACTTATTTTTCCAACAAATTAAGGAATTTTTCATCTTTAACTACATGGTATGCAGCAACTTTGTCCCCACTTCAAAACCTGGCTAAGGAAGTTTAGTTTGTCCTAATTTGTAGCTATGATATGGCATATTCACTCCTCATTATGCCACTGTTGGTGTTTAACTGATGATGATGATACATTTAAATACAAAATTGTTTTTTACATATATTGTAGATAATGAAATTCAACCAGTTTGTAAACATGAAACAGATCTGTTTGTATAAATTATTAAAACAAGTAGACCATTGCAGAACATCCTGTATAAACATGATACTAATATATGGTTGACTGAAAATTTAATTTGTTTTCAGGTAAGAAATGGTAAAGATCACATAATATAGCAATGATGCTTAACAATTGCAAATTGGCATGTTATGCAATAACTATGATCAGATGGCAATTTTGTATTATTGTAAAAAATCCACTTGTGTAAGGTCACATTTTGTGTAGTTTAGTAAGGTTTATAAGGACAATTAACACAAGAATTTGCACAGTTCATCATCCATATTGCAGAGCAAAAGAACAAAGTTATACATACTGTTGTGGGTTTGATCTTACACTCAGCTATTTGAGTGGCATGGTTACCATTTTAAGCATTTATTGTGACCACCACAAAAGTAAAGCATTCGATGATCGGTAAAAACATTCAGCATGTCGTCTTGCAATAAAGGTGCATCTCAGTGCAGCATTGTGTGTAAAGTGTGTAAATCATCATAAAAAAACAAATCATCCTTACTAGTTTTTGTTCTTAATTTGCAACCATTATACAGAAATCCCAATGCCCATAAAGTTTGGGCCTACATTCTCATCATTTCAGGTAAGGGATCCATACCTGAAGTTAAAACAACTATGCTGTAGAATATTCTGTAAACGAGAGATAGGAGAAACAAATGTTATATTATTAATAAATGAAGAATCAAAAAGGCACAGAAGTGCAAATATTAAAGTTATATATAAATATAACAAATATGTTGATGTAACTATAGCCTTAAATGCATAAAACAATTTCAAAATGTGTGTGAATTTTTTATTGAAAGCTTGTCATTTAACTTAATAAATCATATGAGAAGAATTTCTCATTTGGTATCAAACCTAGAATTTCAATTTTAGGTTGATGTTTTTTAACTCTCAATATAATGAATGGATGCCAAGATGATATTAAGAAAGGCATCAGGCTTTAACAAGGGGACCATCAACCCTTGTCCTCTTCAAATTGATTTTATTTTTCTATTATGCAAGGGTTCACAAGATGATGATTAAACAAAGTTAAGGATGATTTACATTGGATGCAAAGGGCATGAAAGCAAATTTCATTCACACTGCAAGTGGTGATAAGTATGGTCACACTTTGTAGTTTCTCACTTTTACTAATAGATGGTGTGTTAAAAATGTAACTGCAGTATAAATCAAATTTAATTTTTTTTTTTTTTTTGTTTACTGTGTTGTGTAGGCTTATCGAAATTAAATTATATACCAGTATTATTTTAGACCGTGAATTTTTTCTTTTCCCCTGCTGTGAGTCGAGAACTCTAGTTGAGATGAAAATGTTTTTATTGACTTGCTGTCACGTACTTCCATTAGCTGACACAAAAATTTTTAACTCCATGAAGTTACTGTTTGTTTCGTCGTTCACCCTCTTTAAAGCGTGATTTACACAATGCAAAGTTTTTATAGTAGAGGAGGAGGTGTTTCCCAATTACATTATAGTGAATTGTAAACAAGGTATCATAACTATACCCACATTTTTTGTGCAAAAAGTACTGGTAACTATTAAACTAAATGTTCTTAATTGGATTTTTTGCTAGTGTAACTATAAGTATGGTTTTTGAAGGCTTCTGTACAAAAAGTCAAAGTAGGCTTAGGGAAAACTGGGTGGTAATATGGAACCTTACTGTATATTTTCAAAAAATGCTTTAATGTATCCAAAAACAAATAGGAAATTACAAAGAATGTTAAATAATTTTGTAATTATTTACTCCAATGTATTTTATCGAAAAAATCTTTTATAATAGAAAAATATGATCTCGATCAACAATGTATATCTCAGCAACTCTTTTTCGATATTCTCAGGAAGAATTGGCTTTCTACCTAGTGTCTTTCACAAATTGCTCCGGACAAATGTCTGCTTGCAAAGAGAGGGTTCGGAGGAGTTGAGTTCCATATTAAAAGTACCAATGGGGTCCATATCATCATCAGCGCCACGAATTAACTTGTCTGTCAAGACAAAACTTGAAAAAACGTGATCGTCACATTAATATGTACTGTACCCCTAAGTCTCTGGAACAGAATACATGCACCAGTGAGCCTACAACTACACGACTTATATTTTAGAAATAATTAAATTCACTTACCATTCAAAACTTTCGAATTTCGAAATACACAAATTTGCTATTCACTACGGACAACCGTATAACTGAAGTGAAACGGGCTTTCCCCTTGCTATGGATGTCTGCCTAGTGCAGTTCAGCCACAATCTGCTACAGTTCATCTTTATTATCAGTTTGAAATGGAGGGGTTCCATAATACCACCTTTCCCTCTACTCTTATACACAGTGAAATAATTCTTGCCAGTTTTGGTTATACAGCGAGTTTGTAAAAATGACAAACATGCAAGCATAGTCAAACCATAGGATGGCTGGTTGGCATGATGAATGTCACAGCTTCAAGCCTCTAAATTAAAAAAAAAATTTGGAAAGAATCTTTTCCTGCAATGTGTAATCATGTGAATTGTTTTTAGCCTAATATACATTTAACTATAAATTATTTAGTTATTAAATTTATTTGCAAACCAATATATAAAGAATATGTACTAATTTAGTATTCAACGGAAAAATAAAAATTGTTTTGACTTCGTGACCACCTGGCTCAACAAAGTTGCCACATTCAATTTGAAGAAAATGTGAGTTCAACCCAACCCCACGTGACATATCCCAAAGTTTGGGATTGTCTTCTGATCTAACTTATGACAATTACTTAGCACACTTTGTAAACTGTAAGCAAATTGTAGCAGCTGCATGCCAGGATCATCAAGTCATAGAACAATTCACACCTTATATCTTGACACATCTTTAGACTTTCAACTGCTTGTAGAAACCATCATCATAAGGAAAATGCAAAACTGAATCATGAGAAATGGAAGGTGTAATAAAGTGCAGAGATAAGTATTTTGAATTTAGAAAATGTTGAACTGATGAACAAGAAATGGAAGGAGCTTGCAAATGCTCTAATTTATTGTAAATATATGTTGCAAAGCAAGAATATGATTAGTAATTTGTCTCCACAAAATATTGTCTGTTTTTGCTACTATGGGGGAGGAAAGTTTTAAAGAAATTATACACTTGCTGGAGGATACAAAAATTCACAATTGCATCAATATAGAAAATTCAATGCAAAACCTTTTCCTATAACTTGCAGAGAGGCTTGAAGCCATGATGTCCAGCGTGCCAACAAGCCATCTTATTCATTCAACTAAGCTTGTGTCCAATTTGTTTTTACGGACTTGGTATCTAATCAAAATTGAAAACTTTAAAAAAAAATCACACTTATCCAACTAATACCTGGTGAAGTAACTCTTGTCCATGTGTTAAGAGTTTACAAAATATCAATACTTAATGTGTTATAATAATTGACCCTTGCCTTCCTTAAATTGGTCTCGTTGTAAGATGCATTGTTTACAATACTTCAGCATTCCAATTCCTTTTGTTGAGTGTGAATAAGCACAAAGAAAAACAATTAGTTAACTCAATAAACATTTAGAAAAAAAAGATATTTTATATAATTCATGTAATAATCAAGACAAGTCAAAACCAAATTATTTTGTTCTCTAATGAATAATGCCATGACTAAATTTTCTGGTGCAAAAGAAAAAATTTTCTATAAATGACTTTGACTAAAAAATTTATAAAATGTAACTAAAAGTCAAATCAGAAATTTGGCTTTGACTAAAAATATATATAATGCAACTTTGAATGCAATTGCCTCAAAAGAAAGAAAAAAAAACTTAGCTTTTATATGAGTCTACTGATGTATCTAAATATTTTACATTTGAAAATTAATATTTACTGGGCCTATTTATTTATATATCATAAGGCCTTGTTTTATGTGGAATTGATACAGGTATACCTGGACTTACGTCGTTTGTCAAAAAAGTATATGGAAAAATAAAATTCAAGTTTACGTCATTTTATTCGACTTTACGTCTGTCCGCCACAAATATTGAAGTCTTAATATCACTAGAAAATTGTTTAAAGCACATAAAATCATATTAAAATGTATACATTTACAAGTATGCACTGTATTTACAGTACATGCATTCGTAAATTTAGATTACTTTTTTTGTTCTATATTAAAAACTAAAATTTATTTGTTTGTAAGCTTAAAATAGATCCTTACTAACCATATATTATAAAAAATGCATTAATAAATAGAATACAGAACCGGGAATGGTAATTTACGGTTTAGCCTAGTGACAAGTAGATTTGGAGACAAGTAAATTCGACTTGCATCGTTTTTCGACTTAAGTCGTTTTCCTGGAACCAATTACCGACGTAAGGCGAGGTATACCTGTACATGTAAATTCATGTTTTTGCAGAAGGTTAAATTAATCCTGAGATGCAAAGGAATAATTCTTACTAAAGTACTACTGTACTAATGTACTGTACATTCTATTTTTATTACAAAATTTAGTTTAACATTTACTTGATATTAATGTTTTTTTCTATTATATAAACACTTTCATAAATATCTAAGCAATTACCATCATCTGGGTCTACTTGGAGTAGACTACAAATTTAAGCAGTATCTTCTGATACACAAGACACACACACTTAACTGGAATAATGATATTCTCAATAATCTCTCTCTTAAACCCACTTGTCAATGATGGGTTTATCTTACTCTTGCTAAACTGAGATTTGTAAAAGAAATCTAAAAAAAAAACTATTGTATAACAATCTGTATCCTGGTTTTATAATTACACACACAGTTTTGTCCTATGTAAAGATTATTTTCTACTTAAAAAATATGTATTCTAGTTTAAAGTGTTTTGGTAAAACTTATAACCAGTAGCATATGGGGCAAATTTTAACAACAAATGAAAACAAAAACATATTTTACAACAATTAGTTCAATTTGTACAGTGGATGAAATTTACATCAAACTATTTAGAAATTCTGTTTAGTTCACTAGAATTTGTTGACAACAGATGAAAATGTGGATTTTATGTTACATGCTGTGAATCTTCCAACATTATTCTACAAGCCTATATGTTATAGAAGAGCAACTTAATATGAATATTCTTTTGTATTAAACACAAATATGCATGCATCTTAAGGATTTATCATTTACTTTCCCACAGAATAATACACAATTATTGTTGTTCGATCATGTTATCTCTAAAATGTTTCGATGTAACTGCAAAATGAATTGGCTAAGTTAGAATACTATATTTCAACATAGAATAACCCATCTTAGTTACATGTGCATAAGCTGCATATAAGAACTTTTACACAGTTCATTCCACAGTATGAACTCAGTGCCTGTAGAGCAACCATTACTCCTGTAGGAACAAGTTGTAACTGCAATTAAAAATTAAAAAGGGCTGCAAATTATGCCACTAATAATGCCATTATAACATTACAGATTGGCATGGTAACTTTTACTATGGTGCCAATCAAAACACTATGATGATTTTGTCAGCAATCTGTCCAAAGTTAAATCTCAAGTTCACCCATTCATTACAATGGATTTTTTAAAACTATAATGACTTAAATTTAAATTTCAGAACTTCTGACATAATATGTAAGATCCAATAATTAAAATTACAATACTTGATACCAATAGTTTATTAAATTAGCATAAATAAGGTAATAGTTATGAAAACTAAGAATTTTACAAGTATATAATTTTATGCAGTATATATCATCTAGTGGCAGCATTACCATATTAGTAGTAGTAGTAGATTTGTAAGTCAATGCTTTTCATCAGATACAAAGGACAGAGCTGCCAGTCTAATTTTGATTGAGACCATTAGTATATAAATAAAAAATTTTTGTAAGAAATGATGCTGCAGCTTAAATTCTGGATTCAAACCATGTACAACTAAATGGGTTCCCCACAAGTATTAAGAAATTAAAACAACAGAATATTAAAAATGTAAATGTTTACATTCCCTTGTGCAGTTCTATAAAAATTTCAAATCATGTTTTGAGATAATGCAAATGTTAAAATGATTTTATACAATAGTAAAACAAAATATTTTTAAAAAGTCTACATTTAACTTGCTTTCTTTTATAGATAACTGGATTTTTGATAATTTAGTTGAGAGTTGCTTCAATTTCCTGGCAACATTTGAAACTGTGCGCACAATATTTTTCATTATTATAAAGTGGCAAAAAGCTTAATTTTGAGGTAGGGATGAATTTAATAGAGCCAGAAAAGTAAAAATGCTTTCATTTGCATCACTAGCTTATCATCCATGTCATTCACTTGGTCCAGTGATAGGAATCATTCATTTTACAATGGACATACGTTTGGACTTCGTCATGTGGTGAACATGAATTTGTCGTAGTATTCTTGTCAAGTTATAAAAAAAAAAAACAATTATAATTAATCATATTCATATGATGAATCCTTAGTAAACATTAGTGTAAGAATATGCCAAATAAATAAGTGCAATAATTTTTTGAAATGTACAGTACAATTGCATACTATTAAATTTAAAATTTAAATATTGTTCTGATCTAAAACTCATTTATCCAAAATATTTATCCTTAAAAAAAAATGGTCATTAATAGAATTGGTATAAAGATCTTTTAATGTCCTTGCAATTGGTATCACCGACAAAAGTTTGAGAAAATCCTTTGATTTCAAACTTGAGATGAGCAATACTAAAGAGCAGTACTGCTTAATTCCATTCCAAATACTTTAAATGTTGTTCTTGGTTTGAGGCATTGGATGAAATAAGGTGATTAGATGAAAACATTTTTCAGAAATTGACTAATTTGCATATTCTTTATTTATGGAGGAATAAATATCTCAAAAGGGAACAATACATTATGTAGAATAAGTGTATTTTATATACTGTTAAAAGCAGGGCTGTGGAGTTGTATAAAAATCTACTGACTCTGATTCTTCCTTACCATCCGACTCCAACCAAGGGAGGACTTGTTACCAAAAGAGACCCAGAAATTCTGATGTCATCACGTGACCTCAGAATAAAATATTCAATAAATAGAGTTCTAATAAAGATAGAACGTAGAAACTTTTTATTCCAACGCTAAAAGATTCCTGTAAGTAATATATAAATATGTATTCGATAATTTTTACTTTTCCGGCTGTTATAGATAACAGAGGGAAAGTGTAGTGCTCGGTCAAAAAATACCCTTTCCAAATTTTTACTTTTTGGACTCAGGACACCTTGAAATTGAGATATGCAAAAGATTTGAGTTTTTTATTCATGTGGATGTTAGTCTTTGCGAGGGGACATAATTTTGTTTACCCTGTTTGAAGCCTAATAATTTCTGTGGTCAGAATCGGAGTCAGATGAGGACACAGGAGTTAGTTATTAAGCGTCAAAGTGGTCGAACTAAATCATGTCCCCATATACATTCTAACATCTTAGGCCAGAACACCTTAATGGGTTTTACTGTACTATCATAAAATGACAAAAAAGCTTACTTTGAGGGTAGAGACGAGGTTTATTTTAAGTTTTGAATGCTAATAACAAGTAAAATATTCATTAAGAGATATGACACATGACCGCTTTTGTGTCTTCACCCTGTTGACCTTTAATTAAGAACCAAAATTTAATAGTATTAATGCCCCTTATACACAAGCCACAGTGCAACATTTCATTTCTTAAACTTTACCCATTCTGAAATATTGTTTAATATCTCAGAACAGAAAATAAAAAAAGTTAAACAAATTAGACGCCAACACACACGGGAATTTTTCCCCTTTTATTGACTTTTTTGAGGAGTTCGGGAGGTCTCCAAACATGTAATTTGAAAAAAACCTGGAGGGTCAAATTTGATACAATTCCAATACTTTTCTGTTTTATATACATAACAAGTTGGGAAGTAAAAAGGAGTCTGAGGATTTTTTGATGACTCCGACTAAAACACCAAAACTCCACAGCCCTGGTTAAAAGAAAGTTATATATATCTAACTATTTTAATTTGGGCTCCCTTTTTCCATAAACTACAAAACTAAAACAAAAAAGTTTAGTCTATAAAAAGCAAAATTGCCTAATTCTTGTATATACTTTTGCTCCATTTAATTATGAACAAGACAATCTGTTTAAATTCTACTGGCTTAATTCCTGCTTAAGACAAGGCTTCATGTTCACTTTTTCATTATCCTTCCAAAACTTTGATTATGAGGCATTTTCCTTCAAATTGTGCATGTTTGTGTATGGTGTGTTTATTCAAACAAACCAAACAAAGTGAAATGCATTTAATACAGAGGCTGCCATGTTGAAAATTAGGGTCTTAACAAAAAAAACTGCACTGATTCATTGTTTTATGGGAGTCCCTTATCCTTGTTCCATCAAAACCCTCAAATTGGAATTGAGCTGCAATTTGAAAAAATTGTAGACTTATAAATTCCCACTCTTGTCTTTCTTTAATCAAGAACAGAGCAGATTAAAAATGAGACCAGATATGAAAACATTTGGTGGCAGGAGGCCCCAATTAACTGCATATGAAGTTCTGGTGCACTGGGAAGTCATGTTATTTCAATTCAAAAATTTTCTCCTGAAAGTGTTAGATGACTGGCACAACACTATTATTAAAGGAAAGTATGATGTAAAGGGGCAAGCCACTACTAATTTGAGGTGGAGGGCATATATTTAAAATAAATTAAAAATTGCAGCCCAGCATTGTGATGTCACAATAAATATTTGATGATGTGTGTGTGAATTAAAAATTGTCCATAAAAAATTACTTGGATGCCTTGTCCAAAAGTATGACATTGAATTGAAGACTTACAAATGAAAATCATAACACTACTAAATTTAAGGAAATACTAATTTGTCTTTTATTTCTGCCAAATATTCAATACATACAATATCTTTTGCAATATATTCCATAACTTGAAAAATTTACACAATCTTAAATATTATTTCTTTAGTGTAACAAGTGTAGCAATAAGGAATATCAAGGAATCAAAATCTTTACAACTATTTAAAAATAATTTGAAAGCACCAAATTCATACAATTAATAATTACAACCTCTCAAAAGACAAAATTGATTTTCTTTGAAGCCATGATTTTCAAGAAAGTACAAAGTTTTGAGCAATTCTTATTTAAAATAATTCTGAACTCATATATATATTTCATTTATATGTACGCATATACAGTATTTTATTTCCTTTCAAAATCATAACGAGAATATTCATTATATGGGCGAGAGGTGGAATTTCACCTAGAACCGTCCAGACCCCAGTTGTGGTGACCTCGTGACGCCCGAAGTCAAAAAGTTACATTGCCCGTGCTTTACATCCTGTACATAACTATAAAATTACAGAATGCGAATTGGATGGACATATTCAGGCAATGGCTTTGGCCTCCGGTATGAAGCCCTCCCAATATTTTATAAGCTAAAATAGTAATTGAAAGAAAAATTAGTATTTTAAAAATTAGTATATACAATTTTAAAATTTGGTTACTTTTGCAAGTGTGCTTTACCTGTTGCTGAGTTTCTAGTAATTGTTCCATGTACTTGATAATTGTTGCTTTGAAATCTTGTACTCTGGTTTGTTCAAAACGTTCCACTTCCTTGCGAATCATCTTTGAAATATTTTCAAACTCTTCCTGGCCACGTTCCACTTTTGCTTCCCACTACAAAACATTTCACTCAATAAAACTGCTTAAATAATGACAATCATGCTATCAATTTACCTCAATCACTTCCTCTCTTGCTTGAGGTATCTTATCGGTTTTTCCTGCAAGTTCTAACTTTGCCTTCTGTTCTCTCTTCTTTGTAAGAATTTGTAGAGCATGTTGCCAAGTTTGATAAACTTTCACCCGCTGATGGAAAACATCCTGCAAGATTGAAATGGTATTAGAAACGTAAGTGTATTAATGAATTTACATAATACCTTACCTTTACAGCAGCTATAAGACTGATGTAATCTTTTAGCAGTTCAGAAAGTAAATAGAAGTCATGATTAGCCTGCTGACACTGCAGTTGTTCAATTTTCTCTTCTACTTCAGCCAACTGTGATAGTGCTCTAGAGAGAGCCGTGTGCTCTTCACAATTTCCCATCATTGCAGCACTTTTTGCAAAAGATGCCGTCGAGGAGGAAAGTTCTAGAAAATTTGAATACATTAATGTATTAAACATATTTAAAAAGAATTGTTAAAGCAAAAGCAAATAATTCTTACCTTTGCGATGATGTACCAAAGCTTCGACACTAGAATGTAGTTTCCTCAATTGCTGATCAAGGTTTTCTATTTGATGCTGTTTCTCTTCAAACCACTACAAGTGGAATGTGTTACAATAAGAATTTAAAAAAAAATTTATAGTAATCATGCATCCTAATAGCTATTCTCCTACCTGGATTGCATAATGTGGATTTGTTAATAAAACCTGTCCTCAAAAGAGAAGCATGAAAAGAAAGGAAAGACAGATAAGCAAAGATTTAGATTAGAAAGAAGAACCTAGAATAAGTTTTATTTAGTATTTCTGCTAACAGTTATTGTAGTTTTACACAATGCATTTACTCTATATACAATATACTCAGAAAAATAAAGTTCAACATTCAATCTAACTAGTACTTCACTCTTTACACTTTGATCCACAATAGAGAAAGCTGAAAATACATTGACAAATTAAAATTTCAAAAACATTAATAATGACACTGCTTACATTAACTACAACTGATTTTATTTTTAACATTATCTTTTTCAGCCTAAACTTCTTAAATGTTTTTATTTTTGAGATTACTGCACATTATAAAGAAGCAGTAAATAAGATACTTTGTGCTATTTAATGTAACAATAATTTTATAGAAAACATTGATTCCTTACTAAAAATGAGATTAAAAAATTCATATTATTTCAAAGTTTTGGTTTTTAAACTTTTATATAGAAAAGTTATTGCTTAAGAGCAAAAACCAGGCTATCTTTTTTTGAATCAGTGCAGTTATAAAAACCTTGTCTGAAATCTTTGCATATAATACTAAATCAAAGAACCATTAGTTAATTTTCAAATTCATTTTTATGACGACTATTAATGATGTTACATCTATTATATGGAAAAATTACATAGCAACTAGTAAAAGCTTTCAAAATTTAACAGTAACCCACATTATTTAACACAAATCATCATCATCAAACTGATTGTTACTTAAGATAGTGTAATAAACACTAATTTCACAAGTGAAGAGTTGTGTCACTCGTTTATGTATCATTAATTAAAAGCATGCAGAAAAATTTAGAATTCATAATTACATTAAGAAAGCCTTAACAAAAAAATACTTTTTGAATCTAATATGACTACTACTCTGTATTTGAAGTTAACATATTTTTAAATTTCTCTACAGCATTTACAAATAAGCATCTTTCTAATTTTAACTAAATTACATTGGCATTTGATACAAAAATAATCTTATAATGCAGATCATTTAGCATCCCTATTACCATCTTATAGTTTGCAAATTAATCAAAAATCAATCACTAGTGTGTTTTTCTCAGTATCATCAGTATCCAACATTTTTAGGTATATTTACATTCCTTATATTTAATGAATTAATGATATAGGAGTAAATATACAAATACTAAAGAAAATAAGCTTGTATGTTGCAAAATAAGGTAAAGATTTCTTAATTTCATGGAAAAATATTTTACAATTGCTTTTCTTCATAGTCTTTCAATCCCTAATAGACTCATTTCCCTGTATGGTGTACTGCCACCCTCATTGCAACTTATGCTATTATATACAATTTATGCAATTTGGTTATTTAATAAACTAATTTGTATACAGATTCTGCTGAGACAGTCCTGCCAGACTGAAATTTTCCAATATCTTAAGATGCATAAAATCTTTGATAGGAAAAAAAACCCAAAAGAATTTAACAGTTGTTTCCAAGTAAGGTAATTTCTTACTACTCAGCATTATCAGTTTTATTTTTAATTTACATTTGATTAGTTTCATAAAAGCTTACTTAACAGTTGTATTTAGAATAAATGTCAATTCTCTTGGAAACAGATAAATTAGCCAAATATATAAACAAAATCCAATTCTTACAAAAAACAAAAAAATATTTATCTGTATACTTTACTGTAAGTTATGTTTTATGCACACAACTAACATGAAAAATCTAAAACCAATTTCAGTTTCTTAATATTAATACATGATAAAATGTAACTTAAAAAAATGGCTAATCTTCCTTTGAAATAAAAATTCATGTTAATGTTTTATTCAAAGTTTGTATCTGGACATATAAAGAACATAAGACAAAATTGCCTATCTCAATAACTTGAAACTAACAGGATTAACCTCATTATAACATTTAATTACAATAGTTTGTATGAAATTTTTACAGAGAAAAATTAACATTTCTTAATGTTTATTCTAGAATTGTTAAATATAGAAAATATGCTGTTAAATATGTCATAATTATGATAAACATTTCATTTAAAAAAGTGGATATAAAAAAATTTACTTTACATATTTATACTTGTAATTAAAAATGGTTTGATTGTAGCAATTGTATATAGGACATATTAATGTAAAGTGAAATCAAATTATATAATTACTGTAAATGTCCTCTTATTAAAATCCTTACATTGAGATAAAGACAACAGTTCTTTAACAATACAAGTCCAATAGCCAAAACATAGCTGAAAAGCACTTATAGATACATTATAACTTAACAGATTAACATTAATAATGGTAAATTTTGAATTTTATTAATTTATGAAATTCTGAGAGAAACAATTGAACTTCAATGCAACTTGCAACATTTCTATACCACTGTATAGAAAATGCCATTAATGTTATTGAGACTGATATCAAAACCATGCAAGTTAATTGACTATTCTGACTAGATACATCTTATATCCATAGCTCTTCAATACCTCAGCTGGTTAAGTTTCTAAAATTTCCAATACTACACTTAAAACATTAAACACCTTCCATCGCTGAGAAATGTTTATTTAATAAAACATTTTCAGTCTCACGGAATAGGCCATCCTCAGGTGTGAGTGACTTTGAACGTATATTATATTATTATATTGTTATATTATTTATATAATGTTATTTAAATGTTTATATAAATATATAATTATATTTAACATTATGTTATATCGTCGTTGCTTCAGCGTATTTAGTACATTTTATTTTGTTATGTACTTGTTAATTTATCTGTTATTTTTGTTTTAAGTTTGAATGTATAATTGTACATAGAAGTCCAGGATTATTTTAACTTATTTCAAAAAATTGAAAAACATGACTTCAGAAACAAAGTTTGTCATTCAGATGTTGTAGTCTACAAGAAAGGGTCGACGTAGGGAATTTTTAATTGTGTGTGAAAAATTTATTTGATTGTATTTTTATGTTATTTTTTTAGATGATTTTTTCAATTCATCAGCTGTTTTTTGTAGTTCCTGGACTGGAATGAAAAGGATAAATATAGACAGANGTTGTAGTCTACAAGAAAGGGTCGACGTAGGGAATTTTTAATTGTGTGTGAAAAATTTATTTGATTGTATTTTTATGTTATTTTTTTAGATGATTTTTTCAATTCATCAGCTGTTTTTTGTAGTTCCTGGACTGGAATGAAAAGGATAAATATAGACAGAAAGACTGAAACTTTGTTTCTATAGTCATGTTTTTCAATTTTTTGAATGTATGTTTGAACGTTCAATCGTTAGTTTTAAAATACGTTTGAACTCATTTACACTTGAGGCTTAATAACACTAACATTTTAACTAAACATTTCTCAGCGATGGAAGGTGTTTAATGTTTCATTAAGTGTTTTAAAAAGTGCTGAGTTTGATGAAGTAGTATTGGAATAATAACTATCTAAGTTAAGATGAATAATTAGAAAATTTTAATACAAGCTTATTAAAAATAGTTTAATCATCTATTTTTAAAACAAAGTTCTATAATTATTTTTGGGATATAATTACACTAATCTGACTTCTAGAGATTTGAAGATATTCTACAATTGTTTTGCTAATGATAAATTATTTAAAATTTCTCTGTATACATTAATCAAATTTTTTTTAATGTGCTGTGATCTAACTCATTAAAAAGTTAACTTCAATATAAATGTGCTATTATGAATTAAGATTTTATAATATATTGATTTATTATAAAAATTGCTATTATGACTAGTGTTATTAGTTCAAGAAATTGTTTGCTAATGGTTAAAATGTTTATCTTTTTGAAGAGATTTTGATATTTAAAGTATATCCTCTATTTTCCGATTAAAATTTTAGCAATACAGCATTCTTGAATGCTGTTGCTTGAAATTTGAAGAAAATTATCAGAATTTAAAGCAACAGTGATGATAAATGTTACTTAATGTTAGAATGTCTAACTGACATCAAGTATTTGGAACAGTATTTATGACTAAGCTATAGTTTTATTTATGATTAGAAAACCTAAAATCCATTCCTGTTCTATAAGAAATTTACCTTATAAAATAATTTTTGTAAGATGTTTCATCATTTCTGAACTAAACCTGAACAAACTTATATCACAAGACCAACATGGAAGATGTAAATTGCATGATTAATGTGCAAGTTTCTAAATTTCAGGAAGTATATAAAAATAAAATGTCTTTTATATTAAAATATATTTTTGTAAACCATTTTTTCACATTTAGTTTGTCAAAGAAAAGATACTTTTACATTTTATGTATAAAGGGCATTTTAGATACATATGTATATGTATTATAACATATACATATACATATGTTATAATTTGTATCTAAAATGAAATGAAAAACAATCTAGCTAAAATACAACAAATTGTAATCTTTTGTTGACTTAAAATTGTATGTAGATATGTTTTATTGTTGAACAGGATGCCAAACAGAACCACAATGACAGCTAATGGATAATTAAAAAAAAAAAAATCAATCAAAATTTGAAAAAACTTGAAGTATTGTAAAAGTTTGCAAAAATCAAAAATTTTGGTACTGAAGTTGAAAATTATTTTTTGATATAACCACCAACCAAAACCCAATGCATAGCAAAGAGACACCCACAACTGGCGTAAATAATTTGGCTATAATTTGGAAATATTAATTATAGCCAGATTATTTATGGCACCAAAGTATGATTTTGTATACTAGAACTTGTCATTATTTTAGGTGTCTATTTTTTTTGATGTGGTTTAGTTGGTACAAGTACATTTTGAAAGCAAATGACAGTCCTAGTTTCCAAAGTAGGATTCTTTAACAAAATTTTAACGTTTCTCTACAAAACTGATTCAAGTTCTTATACAGATTTGTATGTTTTTGTTTCCTATGTGTTATCAAAACAATGTAGTGAATCATAAAACAATGTTTTTCTTCAATTGAAAAATAAATAACCATACTTCAACTTTGTACCAAGAAAATAATTATAAAACAAAAAAATTTCTATTGTAGTTTAATCCAAACTCAAAACTCATTTTTTAAAACATCCAATCTTAAACAATTTCAAGGATAACTAAAATTATACATTCCACAGTATTTTGAAAGGCAATGTCTAGAATAAACAGTTCACTGTCAGGATTCATTCCAGAACCTTATTTTAAAAAAAGTTAGCCAATAATTTGCATAAAACTAAAATGAAGTGACAGTCACTTTCTTTAATTCATATCTCATTAGAATTTAACTCCACAAACTATACATTTTAGTAAATGATCAAAGAAAAAAATGAACTGGATTATGTTTAATTTTGAATCATTATATTAATTAGGCAGAATATAAATAATACAAACACATATTTGAAAAATATTTCACATTATGAATCTTTTTGAAAGTGAATATAACTAAACTGATATTTAAATTGATAAATATTAAAATTATTTCATTGGTTGAAAATGAGTTTACATTATCTTATGTATTAATAAGTTTAATAATAATATAGTTTTTAATCAGGGCTGTGGAGTCGGAGTCATGTAGTTTTGATGTTTTAGCCGGAGTCAAATGGTAAGGAAAAGTCGGAGTTGGTAGATTTTTACGCGCCTCCACAGCCCTGCTTTTAATATAAATGAAAAATTCTATTCATCTAGTTTTCTAAAATTTGTGCTTTAACATTAAAATGAATTTTAATAATTACAACACTATTCTATGTGATTTAATTTCAAGTATTCTTTATATTGATACAAAGTTAACATAACTAATATACCATATATACTAACTCAGTTATTTCATTATTTCATTTGTTTAAAATCAAATGCTATGAAATTGTGCAAAGTGTTTTCTTAGCCTCATTGTATGACCTAAAATAATGTTCTAGTATACAAAATCATGTGATGCAGTGATCAGTAACTCTGGTTATGCCACAAAATACTAATATTTTGTCCTAAAAATACTGGACAAATCTGCATACTTCCTGTGGTAGCTTTACTTTCGTCATCGTGTAAAATATAAAAACTTCATTTTTTCTTTTGTAAATCAGATTTAAAATAAAATCCGTTTGATTCAATTGAGTATTTTGACTCTTTTTGTGTGCTCTTTTCAACTATCACAATATTAATTATGTAGTAGGTAGTAAAAAAATACAGCTTGCATTTTTAAAAACACACGTCAACAATAGCTCTACTTTTGGCCACTACTGTACCATTTGGTTTCAAAATAAAAATTAGTTTTACCAAAACTAAAAATCGAAATTCTATTTTGGATGCATTTTGTTATGTAATTATTTTGTAAAATAATTATTAGATTGTATTTGAAAGCTGGAACCTGTCACAAATTGCTATTTAATCATAGAGCAGAAAGAGGTGTACAGTTGAAATACTTTTATATAATTTCCCAATGTATCAAGATATTAAAATACTTACTGGATCCGATTCATCCATTTTGAATGTCATTTTATTTACAGTGTCTCCTACTCTATTAAATAAACGAATGACACCAGCACCACTAAGAGCAGATGTATTTGTTGCTTTTGGCAATTCAGCTTCAGTTTCAAGAAAATCACGGAAATCAGGATCCATCCTTAGTACTGGATGTGATGCAGTACGATTCAGATATCGCTCCAATGCAGCTCTTCTCTTTTCAATAAAGTCGGTTGATGAAACAGTTTCATCTTTTGACATTTTAATTTTTGTCATTCCTAAAAAAATTAAAATTAAAAAATTAGATATCAGATGTTTCTTCTAAAACTAATTTATTATTACCTACCAATAACACTTTTTTCTGGTGCAGGAGGAACTATACGTCCTAAATGAAGGTGTCTTTCTACTAATTTATCATGCAAACCGAGGAAATCACTGAATCTTCTTGATACAGAAAACAGTTTCTTCTTAAAGTATGGCAAATTTGTCTTGGTAGTAACTTTATAAACAACGTATGCTCCCATACCATCACCAATTTTATGTGGATTATCAACAGTAATTTCTAGAAACTGATCTTCTTCCAGCTTAAAAAAAATTAGTTCATTTGACTAAAAAATTTTCTTCTTAAAGTATGGCAAATTTGTCTTGGTAGTAATTTTCAGATCAGTTTTAATTAATTAAACAACTAAACTGAATTATTCTATGTAAGTATGAAAAAATAAATTGTAAAATTACAGAACACTTCAAAATTTAAAATATTTGCTGCCTGATACATTCTAGAAAGCTTACCTCTTCACCAGACTTTGCTGATTTCTTTGTTGTGGATTTTACAGGCTGAGATGGTGTAATTTCAGCAGCAGTAGAGTTATCATTTTCTACGCTCGTTTCTTTACTTTTATCCAATGTCGGAATATCTTTGCTAAATTCTTCTTCTGGTGTACAAAATTCTAGTTTTGATTGAGGTGTGGGAAGAGGAACATCGTCATCTAAATTGACTTCTATTCCACCACCTATAATTGAAAGTTTTAGAAGTTTATTCACAAATGTTAAATATAAGTAGAAACCTATAGAATTTATCTTAGATATTCCTTTAGTAAATCTTGTAGACAAATATTCCTGATAAATTAATGATTCTGCAACTAATTTTAAAATGACTTCAAATACATCCCAAAAATTGTTGTCATTAATTCAATAGTGTTGCACTTGAGTTAACAGCAATACAGCTAAGAAAACAGTCCACAGTTATACAAATAACTGATAAAGATTACTATTATTGTCATTAGGAATAACTAAAATATGAAAATAATAAAGCTATTTTAATCAGTAAAAAAATAAAGCTATCTGTTATCTTATGTATTAATAAGTTTAATAATAATATAGTTTTTAATCAGGGCTGTGGAGTCGGAGTCATGTAGTTTTGATGTTTTAGCCGGAGTCAAATGGTAAGGAAAAGTCGGAGTTGGTAGATTTTTACGCGCCTCCACAGCCCTGCTTTTAATATAAATGAAAAATTCTATTCATCTAGTTTTCTAAAATTTGTGCTTTAACATTAAAATGAATTTTAATAATTACAACACTATTCTATGTGATTTAATTTCAAGTATTCTTTATATTGATACAAAGTTAACATAACTAATATACCATATATACTAACTCAGTTATTTCATTATTTCATTTGTTTAAAATCAAATGCTATGAAATNTTTTTGTTGTGAATTTTACAGGCTGAGATGGTGTAATTTCAGCAGCAGTAGAGTTATCATTTTCTACGCTCGTTTCTTTACTTTTATCCAATGTCGGAATATCTTTGCTAAATTCTTCTTCTGGTGTACAAAATTCTAGTTTTGATTGAGGTGTGGGAAGAGGAACATCGTCATCTAAATTGACTTCTATTCCACCACCTATAATTGAAAGTTTTAGAAGTTTATTCACAAATGTTAAATATAAGTAGAAACCTATAGAATTTATCTTAGATATTCCTTTAGTAAATCTTGTAGACAAATATTCCTGATAAATTAATGATTCTGCAACTAATTTTAAAATGACTTCAAATACATCCTAAAAATTGTTGTCATTAATTCAATAGTGTTGCACTTCAGTTAACAGCAATACAGCTAAGAAAACAGTCCACAGTTATACAAATAACTGATAAAGATTACTATTATTGTCATTAGGAATAACTAAAATATGAAAATAATAAAGCTATTTTAATCAGTAAAAAAATAAAGCTATCTGGATTGAAAATATTTAAAATCCAAAACATTAAAATCAGCTGGTTTTAATTAGAATATTCACTCTAATTCACACTTCTGTTTTATAACTGATTAATTTTCAAACATTTAAATTATTTTTTTTAAAATAGATATTTAAATTCATCATCATTAATATGTTCATTTGTATTGTAAAATTAAATTAAAAATATAACAGTAAAACTGCCATTTAAGTTTGGTATAGTGAGGCAATTTACAAAATTCCTTCCAACTGAGAAGAGAGATTACTTGATTAAAGTGAAAATTCTTAGGCTCAGTCCTTAAAAGTATATTTAAAATGCTAGACACTCTGAAATGTTTCTATTTAGTTTATATTGATAGTTTGAAAGGTTAAATATTTTATAATTTAAAAAAATAAAAAATTGCTATTAAAAGTAATTTGATAAATCTAAATTTAGAATGTTTTTTTTTAATATAAAAAATAGCAAACTAATTGAACTGTTTGTATCATAAAAACACCTGCTTGCTTTATCATAACTTGTTATAACTAAAGTTACATACTAAGAATGGAATGCAACAAATTTTTATATTTTACTGTTATAAATTGCCCAAAAATTTTAAATTTCTTACCAGCCATTAAGTCTTCAATTGTATTTGGTGGTACAGCTTTTTTGTCACCGTTAGATATGTTCAATTGTGTCTAAAAGTAAATTAAAATTAGATAAGGTTAAGTTTTTAAAAAATTATATATACATACAAACATACATCCCAAAATCCAATGTATATTTGTAATATGTCAAATGACAGCCAGATTAAATTGGGCTACTTCTCTGCTATTATTTTTAATTAACTTCCAAATAATTTGTCACTAGAGGCAGGTGTTAGGCACCATTTGGTGACAAAAATAAGAGTGAAGTAGTCAATTTAATCTGGTAGTCATTTCGCATGGTAAGGAAAAGTCGGAGTTGGTAGATTTTTATGCGACTTCCACAGCCCTGGCAGGGCTGTTGAGTCGGAGTCGTGGAGTTTTGGTATTTTAGCCGGAGCTGGATGATAAGGAAAAGTCGAAGTCGGTAGATTTTTACGTGACTCCACAGCCCTGCCGAAAACGTTTGATCCACAAACTGCTTTGGGTTTCAAATTACATAATTCAAAGTTTCAAACGTTCAAAGACATTTTAATAAAGAATTTTTTAAATCGACAATTGGGTTGCTGTTTCTATAAATTGAATATTAAAATTTTTACACTAACTTGTATGCAGTTCATGCAATGATTATTAGATACTTTTTGAAAATTATTGTGAACAACAATCCAAAAGCAGTACTTTTTTCAACCATTCTAAAAAAAAAAAAAAAAAAAATTGGGNAGAGTATATATTTTTCTTTTCTGAACAAGGGGCTGAAGTAGCTAGCTAGATTGCACACTTTCTAACTCTTCTGGAATGGTGTAATTGAAGTGCAAATGCTGTCAAATATATGTAGATGTAGAATTTTATCATCCCCTTTCTCCTCTTATTAAACATTTGTTAAAAATAATTTTTTTATACAAATAAATAGTATTTTTATATTTAACTTACATTAATAACTATTAAAGTATTTGGGTAAATGTCCCAGGCTCCTTTCAGAGTTCATAGTAGGGTACCCCCTATGAGTGCCTCTGCCCCTATAAAATGACTTGGTATTTAATTTTGCTGGAGTCAGAAGTCAGAGTTGGCCTACTAAAATTGTCAGGATTTGGAGTTGAGTGTTTTTTTTACTGACCCTGCAGCCCTGGTACTATGCCAAGATAAATTATTCGCAGGTAACTGAACAAATTTGATAAATTCAGAATTTAGGTTGTTTTTTAATTTTTGACTAAAAAATCAATTCTCAAAGCTCCATAGATTCCTAACAGAATATTAATTTGAATGGATATCAGAGAAAGTCATAAGAATTTCTATTAAAAAAATAAAAGCATTTAAACTAATTCAATATCAGTTTAACTAATTTTTTCATTCAGAGGAACCATTTGGCTAATGGTATTAGTCGAAACAGTTCCAATACAACTTCGGATTCAACCAAATGAGTCATCATATTTACTCAATTAGAAATAAATTGAAAATTAACATACTTTTATTAAAATTTATCATGAGAAATAACTCTAGGCAAATTGCTTTACATCTAATTATTAAATTAACCTTAAATAGCCCAATAAATACTCTGGTGGATTGTTTGGCAATGCTAATTGAATCAGGTGATTGTATACATATTCAGTTATGACAATTTTCTTTTATGAAATGAACTCTAATGTAGTTTTATTACTAAAACCAAAACTACATGAATATAAAAACAAACTCAGAAATAAGACAATTATTATTCTTGACCAGACAATTACCACCAGATTTTCCAATAATTATCTGATTTCTAAAACAACAAATATCTGATTTAAGAATCTAACATGAGAGGAATAATTGCTGTTAATTTGAGTTAGTCAAACTTTGAGAACAACTATATTCAAAAACAACTATAAGTAATCATTCTATAAACTACTATTTTTTTCTTTTGGTCTAAAAAGCATCTTAATCTTAAAATATTAAATAAAATGAAGTATTATACACAATCTATTATGCTTGAAGATAACTTTTTGAACATTAAATAAAGGATCACTTGAAGTATTGTGTGTTATCTTTGGTTTGAATCACAAAGATACAATAATCAATAATTTAATCTTATAATTGTAATTGGGATAATTAGGACAGCATAGAATCAATATTTTTCCAAAAGAAAACTTAGATAAAGCAAATTTTACTTTAGTCGATTTTGTATTCTGCATTGCACTCTTTCAAAAGAAAGTTTGTCTTGCTATAAATGATTAATGAAATTCTGATTAATTTCTTTACAAATATAACTAGAAATTTCATTTATCTTTTAGATTAATAACTTCTATACATTTACACAAACTTTTCATTACATTAAACTATTACAATATACTTGTTCATTATACTGTATTTTGCTTCACCCCTTCAAGACTTCCATTTATACAGAATAAAGTATCAAAAACTTGATCACACATTGGAAATAAAGATGATATAAATTAGAATAATTTTCAATTTAAAACTTTCCATGATCATCAAAAAGTTTGAAAAGAACTCCCAAGTAACAATTTCAGACAGCTTAAATAAATCAAGTCATCTACAAGAGAAATGTTGCAAGACAGTAGCTAGATTCTCCTAGTTTAACTTAAAACTTCGAAAAACTAAGTCAAGTGATGTAAATTAATATAATGAGAAAAATAAGCTTAAAAAAATACTGGTTATCTTTAATGTGCAAACATCTTAAAAATTTGAAAATTTATAAATGGCAGTGGGGCCAAGGCTCTTATGGCACCTGCCAACTGCTCTGGAATCAAATTCAGGCAGTTGAAAAAACCCTACATATTTTTGGAGGATGTATTGAGTCCCATTCATCATAACCTGGATGTTCTCATTGTGGGCCTAGCTAAACCTATAATAGGTATGACAAGTTCTCATAGCACTGACAGGATAAAAAGTAAAAACTTGGTTTTATAATTCAGAAGAAAAGTTTTAATTCTGATTTTCCAATCAAAAACTAGCACACATTTTTATAAATTTAAATATGTAGTTTTCTGAATATCTACAATTTTGCAAGATAATTTGTGTAGTTTTAAGCTTACAACTTTATATATTTTGCTAAAAATTTTAATGAGGTCAGTTATGATAAGATTACAGAAAAATCATGTTATAAATTCTTAAAGTGTTAAGTCATTTAATTTCTAAAACTTCACAATATTTGTATGTAGCTAACAATAATTAGCAAATAATTTCATTATTTAAAATATTTGAAACTTCCTCAAAAACAGTATGTTTATCTGAATTTTAAAGTTATCCAATAGCTTACTTTATTGATTTTTGTATCAGTTATGTAAATTTTCACAAAGATTTCCTTGAAGTTGATAAAATCTAAATTATTCTCTTCATAAAATTGTTTCTAAAGTAACAAAATTTAGATTATATATATAAACGATAAAAGTTTTGTTACATTGTTCACTCACTACAGGTACTACCCAAATTATTTATAAATGCAATTGTGTTAGTAATATTGCCTTAAAATAAATGAATTGTTATATGAAAATGGTTACAACTAATTTTTGAGATCTGTATAAACTGCATGTAACCAGTCTTTAAAACAGGAATCTAATAGCAATAGCAAAACAGAGCACCTCTTTAAATGATAAGCTCCAATGATTTCTAATGATCTTATTGCATGAATCTAATGATCTTATGGCATGAATTTCACATAGTTATATATTTAAGACAATATTTCTTCATTGAACTGCATAGCGAGCATAAAATTTTAGAAATTATATTCATATTGTATTATTATTATTATTAAATATATTATTGAGATGAAGGAATGTATGTAAATTCATTATAATGAGCCATCTTCCTTTCACTCTTCTCTACATACAAGAGTTGTCATATAAAGTGATAACATGACAATACTTGATACAAGCACCAATATTTACAACAAAAAATATTGTAATCATGCATGCAACAAGAAATTCTCATCCTACATTTAGAAGGCTTGTATATTCTGTCTCCTTTTTTTCCACTTCATTAACATTGTCTGCATAATGCTATTCATTCTAATAGAGTTGTGCAATTTAGTCAACATTATATCACAGATTCTTCAATCAGCAATTACATTTTCATTAATTAAAAATTATTTATTCCATTTCACTTTTCTATACTTCTTTTATAATCAATAAATAACACAGGTCAAAAAAAAATTTTTTTTGGTGCCTAGGATTTTAGAACTGATTTTAGCTATATTTGGGTTGCTGAATCCAAATATGAAATCAGTTTTTTTTACATACAGTGCTACATGAAATGTGCAGCTCTAATTCCAGTTTGTACAGTTCTAAATCACATATGCAAGAATTGATTCCTATATATTTTCCCCATTGTTAGTCTGCCGTCCAGTTAGTTCCAGATAAATCCACCAAATGAAGTAAGCATTCGGTAACGAATTGACGTTCAATGCTTCAACTAGAGTTGAGGTAAGTTTGTAAGTTCTAGCCGTGCAGTGTCTAGATCAGTGTTTCCCAACATTTTTTGTGCTATGCCCCACCTAAGCCTTTCTAAAATTCTTATGCCCCCCAACGTATACACTTAATTGCCACACTGTTTCGTCGTAACCACGATAAGACCTGATCCTTTCATCAAAGTCTCTTGTACTTTCCAGTCGTTGCCAAACGCAACCTGGAACACAACTCATGTCTGTCCACTTCAAGGTCTGGGCAAAGAATGTCCTCTCTCCTCAGTATCAGGACTTCATTCATCTCTTTGTTCTCAGTGGTTCCAAGAATTGTTAATCCCACCCCAAGGGAAAAGGGTTATAAAGGAAAGTTCTAGAAGGAAAAGGAAACAAAGAACAAAGTACTGTATAACTGGATTGCCGTATATTATCCCATGCATAAAAAAGATCTTTGAAAATTGCAGTAAAATTCTAAAGAAATATAAGATATGTTTGGCCCCATCTTTGACCAATAAGATTTCAAATGATATTTCTAAATATGTTAACAGAAGTAATCATAATATAGATTCTCTAAAAAAGGCAGGTGTGGTATATATATTGGAATGTAATTGTCAGAACCCATATATGTATATAGGAGAAACTGGTCGTGTATTGGATGTTAGGA